CATATAGTAAAAAAACTGTTTTCGAATACTTGGGTTATTTTTCTGTTTCAGAGTAGTTTTGTAATTAATTAAAAAAACTGACAGGTTTTTTTGGTTTGTAATTTGAGTTTTCCCATGCTTTTTACTTAAAATTTTGAGTAATTTTTGGAATACAAAATTATACATATTTTAATTAGAAGTTAGAATTGCAAGAAAAAAAGGGAGTGTGGGGAAAATAAATGGCCACTTTGTATCATATACGGGTATGCTAGTCTCTGTAGATGGGTATTGGTTTGTTTCCAGTCTTTTGCTACAAGAAGACAAAGATGTAATCATTATATTTTTACATACACTGTTTTGCACATGTAGGATTACATCAGATCACTTTTAAATTGAAAAGGAAATTACTAAATCCTGTTTTGGGGGAGGGAGCAATTAGTGGCTTGGTGTTGTATATGTGCATAAGCTCTATATGTGAATACATTGATTTTTTAAATCTTTGAAGTATAAGTTACCAATTTCTAAGTTATCATCTGACTGAAACATAAAACAGTACAACATTTAAAATATTTTGTTTTTTCATAAAACTAATTATTACTACAATTCACAGGAAAATTGCTGGTTACCGATATGCTTTACTAAACCCTGTCACAGCTATTAAAACTGACACTGTCAATTTATTTATTTATTTATGTACTTACTTGGGGGAGTTGGGGGAGGGGAACAGTGTTGGGGAATTGGGGAGGGGGACCAGCCAAGTTGTTCTTAAATCTTAGTTGTGGAGGGTGCCAGTTGCCATCTGGCTGCTCGTCGGCAGCTTGTGGCCTCTAAGCTCAAGGTGCTGTGTTACAATCTTAGTTGCGGGTAGGTGTAGCCACCATCCCATGCAGGAGTTGAACCAAGCAGCCTTGTTGTTAAGAGCGCATGCTCTGTCCACTGAGCCATCTGGGCAGCAGCTCAGCTCAGGGTGCCAAATTCAGTCTTAGTTGCGGGCAGGCGTAGCCCACCATTGAACATACAGTCTTGTTAGGAGCACGTGCTCTCACCAGCTGAGCCATCCTGCCACCTTTTGGCAGCTCAACGGCAGCTCAGCTTGGGCACAGCCCACTAGCCCATGTGGGAATCGAACCGGCGGCCCTGTTGCTCAGAGCTCATGCTCTTAAGCTAACTCTTAACCAACTGAGCCACTCAGCCAGCCCAACAGTGTCAGTTTAAATCTGTCATTTGTGGTATGAAGAAAAGGAAGTGAAAACTTTCACATTGTCGTAGAACAAAGTCAACTTTTTATTGTTTGCTATCCACCACAGTTTATAAAGGCTAAATAAACCTAGCAGGATGTGTTTATGTACATATACTTTGGGTGTGTTTAGTTATAATCCAAATGTGTCTTAAATCTTTGAACTACTTATCCATATAAGGCTGGAGAAAATAATGTAACTATTTCATAGTATTATCTAGAATAATTAATGTAGCTTTCAAATACTTACGTTACAGATTATCCAGCCCTATTCTGTTTCTCCTCTGGTTTTACATTTTGACTGCCTCTTTGTATCCATGCTATCTATCATGGGTGTATGTATGGTCATGGGGAGGAAGTAAAAGTCATGCACCTCACATGATGGGTTTTTTTGTCCTCAAAGGACCTCATTATTGGTTTGTATACCTAGCCCCCAAAGTCTTTTATGTGAGTTAACTATACTTTGCAGATGATAAGAAATTTGTAAGCAAGATTTAAATTTCTTAAGCTCATGAGTAACTTCTGCTATGTTCCATTTTGCACAGTGCCTTGGTAACCTAGCCAAGGATTTTATGCCTCCTAGTAGTTCTCATCAGATCAGGAACTGGAAGAATGAGGCCTGCTTTTGACAAACATAGGTCAGAAAGAATTGGTTTCAGCCATTTGATAGGAAATTTAGCGGGGGAGGCAGCCTCTGAATCTCTCTGCAATCAACATGGAGCTTCAGAATTGCTTCAGGTAACAAAAGGTTGCACGTAGATTCTATTTCAGTGATAAAAAATCAGTCAAGTTTTTCAAATAGGTAACTTAGTGGGAAATACTCTATAAAAATAAGTATGCTTTTTGATTATATATGGTCTCATATCTAGCAGTGTCATTTATAGAATTAAATTTAATCTGTTCTTAACAAATGCTTCTCATTAAAATACTTGGGATTTGATTTCCAAGAAAATATCAGGGTAGGAAAATGGAAGAAAAAAAAAAGACCTTTGTTTTTTATGTGTTACTTTTTATAGTATATGCAAGGCTGTGGTATATTTAGAATTGATCATTTATTTTTGTCTTCTTAATAGTAATAGAAAAGGCTACATGATTACTAGTATTATCTGGAAGATATATAGCTGTTACTTTTTTTTTAACTTTAGTGAGTAAAGCTAAATACAAACTTTCTGAGCTGTATTCTTAACATATTGGGTTGTCGGAAAAGTCATGACGTGTTTTTTTTTTTTTTAAGATTTTTATTGGGGATTTTGGGGGATGGGAACAGTGCTGGGGAATTGGGGGAAGGGGAACAGACAAGTTGCTGTTGTTTTGTTCTTCAGTCTAGTTGTGGAGGACGTTGCTTCACTGGCCCAAGTTGGCACCATCATTGCGCTCTTCCCAGGTGAGGCACATCAGTCGCTGGCTTCTGGAAGACCGCTCACTGCGGCTGTTGGCCGCTCACGCTGGCTGCTGGCTACACACGGTAGCCCATGGCAACCCACTGCCACAGGGGCTGCAGCCTACGCTGTCGCCAGCGACTCACGGCAGCCCAGCTCCAGGTCGAGCTGTTGTTCAGTATCTTAGCTGTGGAGGGCAGTGTCACTGGCCCTCGTATGTGGGATCCAAACCGGGGCCTCTGGCGTCCCAAGCCAGTTCTTAACCATTGCGCCACTCGGCCGGCCCTATTTTTAATGTTTTTCGTTGCAAAAATGCATCATGACTTTTCTGACAACCCAATATATATTAGTGCAAGCAGAATTTAATCTAATTAATACTGACACCATTTATCTCCTTTAAAACTTTCTGTGTACTAGGATTCCCACATACTCTTGTTTATTATACTTCCTAAATCTCTTTATTCTACTTTCTGATGTTTTTCTATTCTTGAGTTTTTGTTTTCTTTTACAAGTTCTTTTAGCATCCTCTGCTATGTTTTGTAACTTATTTCAAAATATTTTATTTATAATTATATAATATTGCTATAATTCAGCTTCTTTAATGTCTGCATTAGTGAGGGAATCAGGAAAAGATACTAAGGCCTTCTGGCAGTGAAGAAGTAGTAGCTCCTAAGCATCCAACAAAAACGGAAATAGAAGAGCCAAAGACCTGAAGGTTAGTCCCAACACACTGTACTCTACTGGTTTATCACAGTGAAGGAAATAAGTACTCAGATTGGCTGGTGATATCTCATAGGCCCTTCTTTTTACTTGAAAGCTGGCAAGTGGAGAAGAGATAAGAAAGGAGAAAAGTGACAGGAGAAGGGACTATAGAAACCTTGATTTTTGTTGCAGGTATGATGGTTATTAGCAGTAGCAATTAGATCTTTAAGTAGCCCCTATTCTGACAGGGCAAAGAGTGCCAGTGATAAAGAGACCAACTCTGTTCTCTTGTTGGCCAAAATTTCACTTGATACCATTGAAGGCTTAGAGTATTTCTAATGGATGAGGGTAAGGTGGCATTGCACGGAGCAGGGGATTAAGGAAAGGATAAATGAGTGATCTTTTTGGTATTCTTTCCCTCTCTGGATAGAGTCTGTAGTCTCCCACCAGGCTGTGTGCATTGCTTTTCAGCATATACTGGTAGATTTGCCATTGCGGTATGGAGCAGGTTGAATTTAGCAGAAGAGGAAGCTCTGTAACTGAGAGGGACACCTTTTGTTTCTGTGGCCTAGGACAAATTTCCTTTCTTACGTAAGCATTTTCTTGGGGGATGGAGTGTTCTACAGTGGATAAGCATTGATAGTCAATTCAACAATGGAATTTTTGCTCCCCCTCAACATAGGTAATCATTTTTGTATGAAGAAATTAAATTTTGATTGAATTTGATTGTTGATTCTAATATGTTAACCAAAAATACAGAGGCTCGTTGTGACTATTATGAACTTAGAGTTGAAACAGATCTATCTCCCAACAAAGTATTATGGTTCTTTCAAGGATATTGTTGAGTTGCGGTGAGGACCCTTTTGATAAAGTACTTTTTTTGGTGTTGATGTTTATTATAAAACATTGTTTTATTTTTATTTCTGGGAAATAAGCTGATTTACAGTGGGCAAAATGAGCCAGATTACTAGTTGCTCCTGAGGAAAAATAAGAATAGTTAACAACATGCATAACCAATATTCAGTCAAGTAGTAAACTTTATATACATTACAGGTACAGTTTACTTTTGTTGGTATTCATAAATTCTTTAGATTTCCTGCAAAATTATACAGATACATACTTGAGTTTTATGAGACTATGCTTAAAGATTTATTGTCTACTGCATAACTGAGCTAATTTACAAATGATACTGACCTAAATCCCTCAATTCCTATCCTTAGTAACTTCCATAGCTACCAAAGCCTTTTTCTTTTGTTTGCAATTTAAATCTATTGTAATTAAAACATTTTTTAATGGATATGTAACCTGATAATTAAAACAATCAGGGTGAACTTGATGTTCTGGCAGTCAAAGTGTCAGGGCTTCAGTTAATTTTTTATAGGTAATATCAGCAATTCTGGTTTCCTGTTATCTCATTATTTAATATACTCAAAAACTCCTGGAGCTTTGACCAGAGGTTGATGACAGTAAACTTAATTATTGTCATATTTTCCCAAATAGAACTTGTAATTGTTTTTTTTAATGCAGTTTTTGGTATATTTCTTTTAATCTAAAATTAGTTGAAAATTATAAAAACAAAATAAGTTTGTTAGTTTACATCAATGGACTTAATATAGCAAGTCTGTGTGTGAAGGAATCTTATCAAAAGGATGCTCTAATTTTCTTCCTTAACTCCTTCTCATTTCCCTCTTTTGTTTTCAAAGAGAAACTGGTAGTCTGGGTAGATTCAAGACATCTTTAAGAGAAAATGTCTTGGGGAGCCCCAAAGAACTGCTGAAGTTAAGTGTGCCATCTTTAGTGTATGCTGTTCAGAACAACATGGCTTTCCTAGCTCTTAGCAATCTGGATGCAGCAGTGTACCAGGTAAGTGGCATAAATAACAATGAGAAGCTCAGAATATTAAAAAAATGTCTTTATGGTGAAATTATTTTTATTAACCCTTTATCACATTATCAAATATTTTTCCTGATAATTCTATTAATGATATCAGAAATATTTGTGTCAGAGACTAATGTTGACTGAATTAATTCATTGTTTTGTTTCTAGGTGACCTACCAGTTGAAGATTCCCTGTACTGCTTTATGTACTGTTTTAATGTTAAACCGGACACTTAGCAAATTACAGTGGATTTCAGTTTTTATGCTGTGTGGTGGAGTCACACTTGTACAGTGGAAACCAGCTCAAGCTACAAAAGTCATGGTAAGAAACAAAATGCTTACCATTAACTAAAATAGGAAACTTCCTATGTTGTATACACTTCAGTCACATTGATGAATATAGCATGATTATATTTCTTTGATTGAAAATAATCTTTGCCCTATAGATAGGCTTTTTTTTTCCCTTTAGGATAATATTTTTAAGGATAACGTAACCTATTGGCTTCCTTTTTAGACGGGAATATGCATAAAATATTAGAGATGAAAGGTGCCTTAAATTTATGTCATCCACCCCCTTCATTTTATGGATGACAAATATTGAAGTCCAAAGAAGTGAAATAAATTGTCCAAAGTTACACAGTTAATAGCTAACCTGTGACTAAAATTGTGCCATCTACTACACTGTATATGTTCAGAACTTCTAGGCCTCTTTTAGACATTTTCTCAGAAACACTGGGCAAGGTTTTCTCCATCTAATTCTCATCTTCCCCAACTCACAAAGTTTTTTATCCTTTTGGATAAATTTCTATCACTGTCAGTGATAGGAATTACAGGGGAATAGTGTTTTTACTGATAATTGATAACTAAAATAGGACAAAAAGTGTCCTTATAACTTAAGTTTGTTAGGAGTTAAATGTTAAGGTGCTAAAAACTTTAATCAGTTACTCAAAGAGCAGGAGGAGTTGGACTTTAGTGAATGACTTTCTGAAAGTCATTAGTTTCCTTCTACAATTGAAGACTCTTCTTCAACTTCTAAAAATACAAAGTTCTCTTAGGAGTATAAGGCAGCTGGGGATATAAGGAGAGGCTGTGAAAATAAGAATTCAGTTCCTTTTTAGGTGTTTACTTTCTAGCATGGTAGAATTTTTTTCCCGGTAGAAAATGAATTTTAGATTAATATTTATTGTCTTCACATGAGGTTTAAGCATGCTCATATTCTTGGTGACATTTCGAAACACTGATTTAATATGCACTGCACATTTAATTCAGTTGTAGACCTGCAGAGAAATAATTTGTTGGGAAGTAAGGCAAATATTAAATGTGAACTTTAAGTAACACCTCATACCATTAGAAAAGATGTTAGGTTCACCTCACATAGATAATGTATGTGAAAAGTTTAGTACCGTATTTGCCGGCGTATAAGACGATTTTTTGGCCCTGAAAAATATGCCTCCAAGTGGGGGGTCGTCTTATACGACAGGTACACTTCAGATAGACTGCCCATAGTGCTTGCCCCGTGCCATAGTGGCCTCCCGATGCCCGCCCACTTCATTCCACATACCGTTCAGGCATCAGCAGCGCTGCTGGGTGTATGCTCGGCTGTTATGCGATTTTGCTGTTATGCGATTTTACCACACTCGCAAAATCGCACACAGCCGACCATACACCCAGTATGATAGCGCAAAATCGTGAATCGCGATTTATGTATATGTTTGATTACATACAGCCTTGTGACAGTTTTCCTGCATGTCATAAGCATTTGAGTATAAATATAAATGTTGAAATCAAATCTGATATTGTTTTACCTTTTATTTGGTGTGTGGAAGGTGTGCGGAAGAGGGGGTAGTCTTATACGGCGAGTATATAACAAACTGTATTTTGAGTGGAAATGTTAGGGGGTCGTCTTATACGCCGGCAAATACGGTAAGCTAAACTTTTGGATCCCTCTAGAACAGTGGTTCTCAACCTTCCTAATGCCATGACCCCTTAATACAGTTCCTCATGTTGTGACCCCCAACCATAAAATTATTTTCGTTGCTACTCTATAACTGTAAGTTTGCTACTGTTATGAATCATAATGTAAATATCTTTTTGTTTTCCGATGGTCTTAGGCGACCCCTGTGAAAGGGTTGTTCGACCCCCAAAGGGGTTGCGACCCACAGGTTGAGAACCGCTGCTCTAGAAAGTTCTTTCACATTTTAAACAGTGTAGCTTCCTGTAACTACCTCTTATTTTTCTTTGTTCTCGTCAGAATAACTCAAATCCCTGACTCCCACATATCCTGAATTTTTGTACAGTGTCGCATCCCCACCCTCCAAGTCTTTTCATCCCCATTGAGACAACCCTGTCAATTTCTTTCTATAATATAGTTTCTAGAGCCTTCCTGATCCTTGCCTCTTGCCCCAGTTCTTCCTTGTATTTCTCTCCTGGATGCATTCATCTGCTCCACACTATCTTTAGATGTTGACTGATCAGTGTGAGGTGTAATTTGCTAATTACCTCCTTTATTCTGCATACTAGAGACTTGTTAAGTCACCATAAGATTATATTAGTTTGTGGTTTTTGGAGGGGAGACTATCCATTATGTAGCTATTTCACATAAATAGTTTTTCTCTAATGTGTCTTGTCACTTTGCTTCTAAACCAAATGCAGGACGTGTTTGTGTTTGTTAAGCTTCTTGGCTTCGGGTCATTGTTCAGGCCCTTGAGTTCTTTCCAGTTCATATCCATTATTAGCTTCTTCTTTGACTATTATGCTTTCTACAGATTTGACAAATACATCTTCTGGGTTGTCACTGGAAATTTTAGACAGGCCAGGACCAGAGTTCTGTGGCTGTACCATTAGACTTCTCCTTATCTGCACTTTTGTCTTGTATAATAAGCATTTGTTATCTTTCACACTTTTTATGGCTCAGGAATTTGAGGGTGCCTTAGCTAGGTAGTTCTGGCTTGAGGTCTCTTAAAGGTTGCAGTCAAGATACTGGGTAGGGCTGTAGTCAACTGAGGGCTTGCCTGGGCCTAGAGGCTGTTTGTGAGGTGGCTCATTCAAGGCAAGCTGGCACTGGTTGTTGGTCTAGTTTGATTTTGCTGTATTTCACTCAGCTGTGAATAGAATTATACTGTTATCACAAAATTTCTGTCTCATTCACAAAAATATTATGCAAATCTGTCAAATTTCTTGCCAAACATTATTTTATCTCTATGGAATTTCCCACATCACTTATACTGGGAATCCTTTCAGTAAGGAAATTTGGTATGTCTCACTTTTGGGTAAGCCATACTGTTTTCAAGTGGTGACCATTAAACTTTTAAGTTAATTCATCTGTTGTAGCATTTTGCTAGTCATCATAATAACAGTAACAGCTGCAATCACTTATACAGCACTAAATACCAGTAATGTTCTAAGTGCTTTACGTATATTAAAACTCACTTATGCCTTCAACAACCACATGAGGCTGGCATTGTTTTTATTTCCATGTTCGGATGAGGAAACTGATAGGCAAAGTTGGTTAGTAATGTGTCCACAGTCACGTTGCTTGACTCCAGGTAGCGTGGCTCCAGAGCCCAGTAAGTGTACTGGGCTGCCTTACAAGTCTCAAGCAGCCGTCTATAATTTCTGCAGCTTTTCTTTCCCTCTGCCTTTTTGAAAATAGGACAGTATTGACCAATTGAAATTTTCTGGCATAGCTTCCATTTTCCATTATTCCTCAAAGGTATAGTTATCAGTATCTTGATTTGCTATGGTTCTTAGTTAAGGTACTTTTGAATTTATGTAGGTAAGTATTCTCATAATAGCAAACCAGATGTCTTAGACTTTAGTTTCATTTTAAATATATTTATTATCCATTAAAAAAAATTGTTCAGAGAAAATGAAAAATAGATTTGGGTAGGTCTGTTTGCTTGCTCTCTAACAGTACATTATTTATTCCAGGGGTTGGCAAACTTTTGAGACAGAAGAGCCAATCCTATCCCTCACAACAATTTTAAAATTATTTGAGAGCCATAAAACAAATGAAATCACCATTATGTGAATAATATCCTTTAAAAATTTTATAAGTGAAACTATGGTAGTTTTATTTTCATTTTCAATGTTACTTCAGAGCCACATGTATGTACCCAAAGAGCCGCATGTGGCTCGCGAGCCGCAGTTTGCCGACCCCTGATCTAGCCCAAGAAACATGCTTTTCTTCCTGAGCTAAACATACTTTTAAAAGCCTTCTTTAATGTTTTAAAGTATTTTTGCAAGCTTCTGCATATTTTTAATTTCTTGATACTAAAATTCCTGGTTAGATTCCTTTTGGTTATATGTACTACCGTTCTTTTGTATGTCCCTATAAAATCAGAATTCACTGAAGACGCTTTTGATTAGTAACACTGACTTCTTTATGTATTATTTTTGTACTCTTCACCAGAGTCTCATTCTTCAGAAACTCTCATCCCTCTGGAACCATCTTCTTATTGGCTATGGAGTTGTAACTCGAAAATGTTTTTTGAATTTTGATTTATTCAAGACTGGAGTCCATGTCTTATTAAGTGTGCTGTGCTTGGCTATTACTCATGCTAAAATGACATAGTGGCTGTTTTTTAAAGTTTCCATCACTTCCACTTCATCATCCAGAAGTTTCTTATCAGAATTAAATCCAGAGAAGCAGTGTCTAGCACCATTTTTCTAATGTAGAGATTAAACGGGCAGAAAAGCAAGCCAAGAATTTATCAGATACTATTTTAGTAGCTTGAGCTTCCTAGCAGTTGTTGGGATAGGTGAAATTTCACACCATTACTTTTTCCTCATCTCCATGCCAGTCTTGTAGTTTGTATTAGGAAAGCATCCACGTTTATCAAGTGAAGTCTATAGCAGTGGATCTCAAACTTCAGTGAACATCAGAATCAACTGGGAGGTTACATGGATTGTTGGGCCCCATCCTCATAGTTTGATTCAGTAGGTCTGGGGTGGGGCCTGTCCATGTTTATTTCTAACAAGTTCCTGTGGGCTGCTGCTGCTGTTGGTCCAGGGGCCATACTTGGAGAACCACTAGTCCATAATATCTTCTATTTCTTTTTTTATCTTCATGCAAACATTTTAGACCAAGCTTTCTTTTTTCAGGTACTTTACATGAAGTAATACTCTCCTTATTTATTTTGAACAAGGTATGTGCTTGTCCTATTATAGTCATGCACCTCCACTCTTTAGTTTCAGTGTTACTACTGAGAGAGTATTTATCTCTGAGGAAAGACTGATGGAAGCTCCTGAGGGTTATAGGGAAGAAAGAGGAAATCGAGTTGCAACAATAGGTTGGAGCCCATGTGCGTCATGTGTTAGCAAGGTATTGTGGTTACATGTACCTACCTGCCAGTCTCTCCCAGCCATGCACTATTTAAGACCAGAACTGTACATCATCTTCATCTTTATTCATTCAGTATATAACACAGGCTATGTGGTATGTAGCAAGTACGCTGTTAGTATTTGATACAAATTCAGTAAAGTAGGAAATCATAAAAGTCATTACTTCATCCTGTAGGTGACAACGGAATATATAAAACCAGTTAAAACTGTTACTGTTGCTGTGATTGATGCTATAAGGGCTTGAGGTGGGGTGGTGGCAAAAGTTCAAATTAAGAGGTAGGCTGACTATGCAAAATTCTATGCCAGGGTGCCTGTCGCTATTAGGAAGTAGGAATGTGTTATATTAAGCATTTACTATGGCTGCGATTTGAGGGACACATTTTTAACATCAGTGCTTTGGTTAATCTCTGGGTGGCCTTTTTTTGGTCCTGTCTTATTCAGTAGAATAGCTGTGTCTGATATGACACATACTTTCAGTAGAATTGTAACACAAACTTTTGTATTCTATTTGGTGTCTTGGGTTTTTATTTTTATTATTAGTTACTAAAAATTTATTATTAGTTTATTATTAGTTACTAAATTCTATTTATTAGTTACTAAAAATAACTTAAAACATTACTATTGCAGGTGGAACAGAATCCATTATTAGGGTTTGGCGCTATAGCTATTGCTGTACTGTGCTCAGGATTTGCAGGTAAATCATAAAGGCATTATTTTATTCTGTTGTCAAATTAAAAAGAACTTTAAATAGAGACCTAATTTATCTTGTTTTATTATATAACTAACAATTTTATTCACATTAAAGCTTACCTTCTTGCTTATAGTTTTGTGTCAGCTGTTTTTCCAGTAAATGTATGGTAGTGTTTATCTCAGGTCAGACCCCAGTCCTTATCCATACTTGCAGTTATGAAAGAATATACTTGTCATCCTTGACCATCCTTAGTCCAGCCAAGAACCCAAAAGTACATGAAAAAAGACCTCTGGAAATGGAGGAAGTTAGCCACAGAAAGTTCTAGTACCTCTTTCCATTTTCCTGGAACTGTCACTATCCTTAGGCTAGATTCTGTGCTTTAGGGTGTTAAGTCACCAGCTCAGTATCTGTTTTTCCCTGGTAACTTCAAGTGCTTCCTCTGCTTCAACAGATTAGGAAGCTCGGAGTAGGGAGAAAAAAGGGCTGAGGTGGAGGGTACCTCAGAAAACTTAATACATAAAAGTAAAAGCCAAAAAGAAAGGGACAAGACCCAAAATCTGTAACATCAACTAAACAAGGAAGTCTGGAATCATGTGTAGGGACAAGCAATCCTCCACTCAGTCAAGAGGCAATGTATGAATATTAAATATAACAGAAGGAAAAGTGTTTTAGAAATAGTTCCAACAGAAGAAACTGAAAGTTCTTTTGTGAAGAGTATATTAGTTATAGTATATTATAGTATATTATATATATAGTTTAGTATATGTCTATTATTTATCTTTATTTGTGTTATTTCAAGGGTTAGGACTGTTTTTATTTTTGACTAGGAAAACAGACTGGATATGGAAGGAAATATTGCTTGTAAAAAGATGTTTGATAAGGGGAAAATCCAAATTTGGGAATATATACTTAATGATAGTACCATGCTAAACTTTTATTCTTAGGAACCAGCAAATTAGAAACAAAATTGAATTACCCACAAAACAGTGTACTATTTGATTTTGAGCACTATTTTGAACAATTCAATGTTTGTGTCCAATATTCTATTTAGTTCAACTTCTCAATACACCATTGAGGAAATGGTGGGTGGTTTAATATCCTTCTATGCTTGGAGTAACTGAGCACTCAGTAATTACGTGGTTTTCCCAGATAGGAAACTCAAAACTAGAAATAGGAATAGCGATTATATGCTTGTTCCCATTCTCTGGCTCTTTTCAACATATATTTGTTAAAAACAATCCTGTTTTTCATTAGACTTTTTAGTGGATTAGTACTTCAGTGGCAGTTTCGAACTCTAATTAACATGGTGTTTATAATTAAAACCTTCAATGTTCTTGTTAAACATACATTCATTTTAAGTATAAAAACTTACAGCAGTGGTACATGATTTTTTGGGGGGTGGGGTGGGGAGGGGTCATGTGTTCTTTTGGAGTATCTGAAAAAAGCTATGTACCCTCAACCCCAGAAAAATGCACATGCACACAAAATGTATTTATCTACTTAGGGAGTTCTTGGTCTTCCTGACATTGTTTATGAACTTGGCGTGTAGAACCCTGCTTTAAAGGAAAATGGCTCCACTCAGCAAGTTTTGGTTTGGTTGTATTACTTTTGAAAAAATCCCAAGTGGTGATTATATAGGTTATTTTGCAAATTTGGGCATATTTATTACTAGACAGATATTATAGGGGTATGATTAAGATAATTGACTCTAATAGTCTTCCAGCTGAGCAAAGCAAGTCTTTTATGGGCATTAACAGAGAGCTTTTGTGATCTTACTGCTATAATAAAAGGCAGAAACTGTTCTTATTAAGAGTCTTATTAAATGTAGGTTAGAAAGTTCCCTCTTGTTATTAATTCTGTGCTCTATAATACAAATTGGTAATGTTCAGTATGTCATGTGTCACAACCAACATACTGTGCATTTAATGTAAAATGTGTTTGTTCCCCAAATCATATTATCATATCTCTAGGTTATTGTTCTAAGTGAAAGACATTTTAAATTAATTTCTAATAATATCTTTATTTCATATTTGCATGTCTACTTTTTTTTCAGGAGTGTACTTTGAAAAAGTTTTAAAGAGTTCAGACACTTCCCTTTGGGTGAGAAACATTCAAATGTATCTATCAGGGATTGTTGTGACATTAGTTGGCGTCTACTTGTCAGATGGAGCTGAAATTAAAGAAAAAGGATTTTTCTATGGTTACACATATTATGTCTGGTTTGTCATCTGTAAGTATCCAGGAATTAAAGGTTCTGGGTAGACTTTTTTTTTTAAGAAAAGTTAGATGTCCATTTTAAGCATTTGTGGCATTCTGAAATTGTTCTTTGATACTGTGAACACCAGTTTGAAAATGTAATTTTGGTTTTATTGACTGACTTTTGTGGCATCGCTGTCTCAAAGCAATTTTGCCTTCACAGTCAAAAGTATCTAATGTGTTAGCAGTAAATGTGTACAATTCAGCAGTCGACCACATAGCCCTTTGGGCATCTGAAAAACAATGTTTTGTAGGAACTACTCAATTTTAGTATAAACTTTCTCAGATGGCTGCTTCTAAGGAAAATAGTATTTTCCCATGTAAATTACTGTGGCATCTCTGGGGATGAAAAGTGCTTCACCGTCATAGAATATTTCATTTATTTGAGTGCTCAGATTTTCTTTCTTTCTGTATACTACAAGTTCTCGCAAGTGTTGGTGGTCTCTACACTTCTGTGGTGGTCAAGTACACAGACAACATCATGAAGGGCTTTTCTGCAGCCGCCGCCATCGTCCTTTCTACCATTGCTTCAGTGATGCTCTTTGGATTACAGATAAGTATGTCTTAGTTTTTACTTTTACGTTCTTAACATGGAAAAGCTTCTCACTTCCTTGATTCATCTTTTATTAACTATAGTGTTTACAGAAATGCTTAGTTTTGTTGTAACTTATTCTGTAAGTGCAGCAGTTCACAATTGTGTGGCATGTGGGGCAGCAGTACTTAGGCTATTTAAATGGTCCAAGAGCATACATAAGCTGGGAGATACTGTTCTGTGCGAAAGTGAGGGGGCTGCTCAGTTACTAGAAAGAGCTTTTTTTGCAGTCAAGGACTCCCTGTTCCCCAGGTGTTAGATATAAAACAACTTAAGTGCTTCAGGATGAATACAGTATGATGAGATACAAAAGGAAATAAATACAAGGACTTTAGGAAATGATTACTTTCAGCAGTAGAATTTGAATAAACGGCTTTTTATTTTGAGGAAATAACAGAAAAGTTCTTTTATTTCCCCCTTAGTTTGTACCTTCCTGTTTTGGACTTGAGTACAAACTGGTTTTGAAATCACAATTCAAATATAAATTTTCTTTTATAAAGATCTTTATTTCATTTAGTAATTAATACAAAATTCATTACTGTACAGGGCATTCTGGCATTGCCATTATGCTAGTCCTTTTAAAATAATTTTCCTGGGCCCACATCCAGCATTAAGTTGGCTTCTGAATTATTTAAGCAGTGATGTTAATTTTTCATGGTGCTTTTGTGCTGTAATAACCATTTTATTTACTGATCAATTGTGCTGTATACTAACACATGAGGAAAATTTGTCAAATATCTATTGTGAGTAAAAGTAACAGACCTGGCCTGTGTTTAGATTTCATTTTAAAATTGACTATTGTTATAAACGCAAATGGAAGAATACCAGCCCTGTAGAAATCTTAAAAAAACATTTTATGGTATGGTTAAAATCTTGCCTGTACCATCATTTATTAGCTGTGCAGCCTTGGGGAAGTTACTAACCTATGTCAGTTTCTTCATCTGTAAAATACCTAACCTGTTGCCTAGGGTTGTTTTAGGTAAAGTGCGTAGCACAGTGCCTGGTACATAGTAAGTATTCTGTTTAAGGCCAACCCCTTACCATTTCAATATCAGGTATTTATAACCTTCCTTTAGATCTTTTTCTTATCTGATTTGGGTGAACTTTTACTTGTAGTTCTGATCCATCCGTATGCGCAACAAATCCTTAAGACTTTGCTCCTAAGGAATATTTGAGAACTGTAAAAAATGCTTTTTGGTCAATGTTCTCTGTCTTACTGATGGTCAAGGAAATTAATTAGCAATCTTCCAGTTTTCTATTTAGGTTTAATTTATCCCCTTCCCCTTTTTTGAAGGCAAAGCTAGTCTTTTCTGGTTAGGGGTGAACTAAAAATTAGCTTGATGTCACTCTGCATGCCATTTTTAAAGCTATTAAGACTAGGCCATTGTACTGTAGAATGTAGTTCAGTTTTGAAGGGAATATAGAGTTTTAACATAAGCACTAATTTATAAAGTGGTTTGGACAAGTTGTAATTCAGTTTTTGTCCTAAGTTTCAGGATTAAGATAAAAAAAAAGTCAAGGCTAGCAGGAAATGGAATTTTACTTAGTAAATCACCAGCTCTTCTATTTAGATATCTTTAGTGGTTTAAGCCATTGGTCACCTAACTCTGAATTTTGCTCAGCTACCTTTGCTCAAAATTTTCACAGGTTACTAGTTCTGATGGAAAGCCACTTTTCACTGCTTTTTATTTTAAGCACCATATAGGGAATTTAGTATGTTTTTTGTCAGTGGTCCAGACACTGAACTTCAAAAGTATATAGTCAGTGATTGTCACTTCCTTGATTTTATTTTTTATTTTTTGGCTAGAATTGATGATCTTTCTAAACCTTACCATCATAAAAATAGAACACATAGATTTACTTATTTTTCATATTACAGTTCATTTGTAAATTGGCTCTTTTCATAAATGCAAATGGAGGAATGGGGTAAATCCACAATTGAAAGTTTCAAAATTTTAAAATTAGTAATTGTTATACAGTTTTAAGGACACAAATACAGATTACGCTTATTTTGTTTTCTTTTCAGCACTCACCTTTGCTCTGGGTACTCTTCTTGTATGTATTTCTATATATTTCTATGGATTGCCCAGACAAGACACTACATCCATTCAACAAGGAGAAACAGCTTCAAAAGAGAGAGCCAGTGGTGTGTGATTTCACCCTCAGAAGAGATCCCTGCTAAGACTCAACCATTTGCATTAAACTAGAGCCTTAAGTAAAACCAGAAGGTAGCGTAAACAAACAAAACCAACAAATTAACTGTGTGGCATGAGAATTAAGAAGAAAGCTACCTGAGTGAACTGCTATAAAGAGTTAATGTGACCTGTTTGGGGTCAACTCATTTTGTTTTAGAATGAAGGAATTTTATTATTGTATATATAATGTATATAAAAAGCTTGGAGATGATATGGTGTTAAAAAATCCTGTGAGGCTATAATATTCAAGTAATGAGGTTTGGGACAATGTTAAAGGTTAAAGTGCCAAAGCCATTTCTGTACTAACTGTTCTCTTGTTCAGGTACCAGGGGAGAAGGACAACCTCTCCTTGTTCTCCAATTCATGTACAAGATTTTGTCCCAGCAGCAGTAAAGATCTAGCTTTTTTCTTACAAAAGAGGCAAAAACAAGACAGGCTAGTCAGAAACAAACTGAATGTGTAACTTCTCAAACGGAATCTATTTTGTAATTCAGACAATGATTTCTGGGTGATGACTGAATACTCCTTTAAGTGCTGTAATTGTGCCATTCATTGTCTGGATTCATATTTCTTTGCTGTTAGATGATACACTTTTCTTCAAAAAATATTTCTAATGTCACTTTTGTACTTTTTTTTATAAAGTATGTTTAACATGTGGGGCTCTCAATTTGTGAAATTCTGTTTTTTAAAAAAAATTTCTATAATGTTAATGGGGAAATTCAGCAATAAACTTTATTTATATGAAATCTGTTAGATCACTTTTTGTATTGTAGATACGACCATTAAGATAATGTAAAAACAAAACCATTACATTTTTAATTTTCTCTATATTGGAATTATATCAGTTAAGGTTCTTTGGTTGCAAATAATATGGGCTGTCGGAAAAGTCATGACATATTTTTTGTGTTTTTCCTCGCAAAAATGCGTCATGACTTTTCCGACAACCCAATAGCTCCGGTAAGCCTTAAGCAAAAAAAAAAGAAAATTAAAGAGTTTATAACAAGGACTGCAATCAAGGCTATAAGGGCTGTAGGTTGCAGAATTAATGAACAGTCTTTTTAGGGATCTGCTTTTGGAAAGACTTTGTTCTAACCATCACTGTCCTTCTGTCATTTCACTCAAGATTCTAATACTGAGGAGGCTACAACAGATCTGGGAAGAGGAACGTTTCTCCAAAAAAGTGGAAAAGGATATTGGACATGAAAAACACATCCCAATTGTACACTTTTATTCTATGGCTGGTTTGTGCTAAGGAAATCTTAATGATAACTTTAAATAGAAAATTAGCATTCTGGAAACTAACTCACTTGAAATTGAGACTATATAGATGATCTCCTTTTAGGACTACGAAGGTATACCATACTTGCTAATATAAAACTGTTTCTTCAACTAGAGAAGCTTTGGTTCATACTAATTTGCTTCTATTCATAAAAATAGACTGTTGTTGGTATTTCGAAGACTTCTAGTAGCAACATTTAAAATAAATTATAGCAGACCCAAATGGAAAGGCCGGGAGAGGAAAGCTGTACTGATCAAACATCACAAACTACTCATGTTACCCAAACAAGTTACACAAAATATGCTTTACTATTATGCAGACACATGAAGTAAATGGTTTAAGAAACTCCATTTCAAATTGTGGTTTAACTAATTTTTACAAAAAGATCCTAATACAATACCTGTACAAGTAATTCCTTGTTATTCAAATGTATTCAGTTCCCGAGTTCACCTAGTAAGAGTTACCTGTATATATCAACGAAAAGATAAGTACGAGATCTCTTCTCTGGGAGTTGTCAGCTGTCTTGGCAAAAAGGCTTAATATTGGTCTCCCTAAATTTATTCAGAACTAGTCATCACTACAAGAAAATTGAGATTTTTTTTTTCCTCATCAATTGTATTTGATGAAAACATTAGATAATCTCAGTTATAAAACAGTTTCTTGAAGGACACTGTGAGAAACCTCAGAGTTTAAACTCTAATACTTAATCCCATTAGACCACAATGAATCTTAAAAAAATAAACTTAGTTTTACAAGTCTATTTAATACTTATTGACTATGAGGAAACGCAGATGATTTTTTTTAAGTATAAAGATTTAATAAGTTGATAAATCACATAGACAATAAAATATAGATTCTGACACGGAATAATAGTTTAAATTCTAAACAGCAAGGCGTAAGTCTAGATAACTAGAATTCATTTAGCATTTAAAAAGCCATTTTATTGAGAAATTACATCCTACATACAGGTGTTATCCCAAGAAGTTTCATTCCATTGGCTAGGACAGAACGGACAGCTCTGAAAAGATGAAGTCTAGCCTACAAAATAAAGAATGATTAAATGCTCGATTCAGTAACAGGCTAATACAAAGTGAATAAGAAGAATGTTTTTAAGAGTAAATCTAACTTTCTTCTAAATTAAAGTAGGAACAATACCTGAAAGTGCCCTACGGTTGCTATAGGCAAGGGAAGACAAATTCCCAGCATCCCTTATAGTAAGAGTGGTTAGTACCCAAGGGTTAGAGAGTGGGAGTGACAGTATCATTATACAGTACACCTCAGATAAGGGGAACTCATCAGTGTGGAAAATGTGCTTCATAGTTTAGAAACTAAACACTGACTTTTAGAACCCAATTCTAATTATGACCTCAGACTATAAGTACATTGTCATAGTTGAACAGCAGAATGCTATTTTAGAAACATTTACGAGACTCAGTAATATTAGTCTAAGGATACTAGAGATGACACAGAAAACACTCAACGTAACATACCCCAGCCACTTCAGGAGGGCTGTCTTTTATGTGCAGTGTTTTGTGTGCCACAGCGGCAAGATGACTGAAATGGGAAGAAAGAAATTGAGATTAGGACCAGCAGTCATTTTCTGTTGTAACATGTAAGGCTGATATCTAATCTTACTCCCTCAACTTAAAGATAAAAATAAATAAAAGCTCGACCCATTAAAGGATGTTATCCATAGTTGGAGAGTTGAGACTGCTTTTGTGTAATAGGCACAGTAAAACACACTAAACTCAAGCTTTAGATTTTGGTCCGGTTCTATTAATACCAGATGGCACGTTCTTAAGATTTTGATTTCACTGTTGATCTTACAAGTATAGGAGATTCCTTTCTAATTAGTTTTTCCTCATTTAGGTTTCCTTTAAGATGGAAGGCATAACATGGCCTAGACTCCCCTCTGTATGGTAAGGAGGTGGGGGAGGGGCCAGTCATCAGTCCGCTCTGCACACACAATGGCCACTCTTCTTAAAAGCATCTTTTCTATTTAGGCACGACAGCAAGTAGAACAGTGTGTCAGAGAAAAGATGCTTATGACATTTGTTTCAATGGTTAAATGACATTTAATAAGACTTTCTGGCTTCTTCATCCCTATAAGTCTAAGTGGAACTTAAGGGGGGAAAAAAATCTTATTTAAGCCTGGGGAAGACAGTAAAAAAACAGCTCAATCAAGAAAATCCCAACTAATCTCTGATTTCAGTAAATCTTGAGTAAAAGCAAGTATTTTCTTTCTTAAATAGCTTTATGGGAAGAACAGCTGTTGCTACAGAAGATGGAGTCAAATACTAGTTTCTAGAACATCTACCATGACATTTCTATTCAGGTGTCACTGACTCACCTCCCAATTCATTCTCTATCCTCTAGCTGACGAATTTTTCTGTTCCTGTGCTTAAAACCTTTTTATGGACTTCCCCACCCCCGGCCTGAAAATACGATGAAGTGCCTTACTTAGTCCATGGCTAAAAGGTGTGTACATGCTTCATTTCTCACCCCTCCCAGAACTATGCTTGTGGTTCCTTTAATGTATTATGTTCTTGCTCAACTCTGGGTTTTCTCCTCTGCATCCTTGCTTCTGATTAATATCTACTTTCCTCTGAGAAGCCCTCTTGGATCCCTCAAAGCTGGGCTGAGTACCCTAAAATTGTCTCTGATGTTCACTCTATCCTAACCCACACTATTCAGTAACCACCTATGATGAGGCTGTTTCTTCCTAGTCACTTGACTGTAGTGACTGTACCTTATGTCACTGAATGAATGAACATCAATTGCTAATTTGCAAAGATGAAGCAAGAATTCCTGTAACTTAAAAGCCCGTAATTTTTTTTAGGCCAACCGGTTTGTTTATAGGAAAACTTTAAAGAAAGATCCTTTGTCAGATCAGGTCTCAAAAGTCTTTTAACACCTAAAAATAGCCCAATTATAAAGTACCTTAGAGTTAGAAGGTAACTGACAATGTGCCTGGGTTGAAGGTCCTGAGATGATCTATAAAGCACCTCGTCGAACCTAAAAGAAAGATGACAGGAGCAGTTGGCAGGGAAGACTGTGCACCTATTACACTAAGCTGAGGTGTTAAGATAAAGATCTATGATACTAAGAAAGACTTGATATCATCAAGGGTAAAAAATATCTGAAAAAAGACCTTGTGTACATTTGAAGGTAAAGGCACATTTTTCTTTCTTACAAATTCCTTGATGGCAAGTACTTTCTAAATCATTTTCATATCCCTTAGGCCTAGCCCAGAGCAAGGACTCAAATCACAGCTGTTAAACTGAATGTAAAAAGCCTCTTAACCATGTTTAGGAACATAATCTAGAAGCTAGCAAACCCCTCAATGCCAAGAAAGCAGGTTGGCTTATTTTTCCTCACAAAGTAGCCAAATGTGAGTAAACTAACTCCTGACCCCAGGAACAAACCACTGACCATCGTGTGGCAATCAGAACTGCCTGTTTAACCACTCCCATCCCTTCCAGAGACTGATTTGACAGGCTGGCTTCCCCAATAAGGCTTGTGACAGCTCAAACGTGTGGTCTCTTGCCCCGTGTGGGGGCACCTGACAGATGCATATTTGAGACTGAAGTGAAACTGGAGGCAAATGAAGGGACTTAATAGTCTCAGAGAAGCTGCACAAATGCAGGGATTTTCCTTCACTTGTCACAGAGGGTGAGAGCGTGATGTCTTTAAAAACTAAACAGTTATGCTTTTACTAGGCTTTATATGCTCATACCATGACCTAGAGCAGCGGTTCTCAACCTGTGGGTTGCGACCCCTTTTGGGGTCAAACAACCCTTTCACAGGGGTCGCCGGGTACTCGTATGTGGGCCTTATCTGCATGTGGGCCTGGAGATGGATAGAGGAGCGGTGTCTCAGTTCCTAAGACCATCGAAAATATGTGTTTTCCGATGGTCTTAGGTGACCCCTGTGAAAGGTTGAGAACCGCTGACCTAGAGGATGTTAGGCACCTGGGCTAATTCAGGGGTGGTAATATTTTTAAATCCTAACGACTGACCGTGAGCGTGGCCTCTGTGTGCCCTCAGTGCAGACAGGCACGTTCAGTCACACGTTTAGGAAAGTGCTGTCTAGAGGCAGGAGGCAGGAGTAACTACTGGCCTGTTCACACCAGTGGTCAGCAAACCACCAGCAGTCATTTCACTTAGCAGAAGCAGGCTCTCATACCATAAAACCATACCTGAGAAGATGCTGGAGAATTGAAACAGACTGTGGCTCTTGTAAACAAGCAGTGTTGAAGTCATTTAGATAACCACATCCAAAAGTCTCTTCCAAACTGTTATCAAAAAGTTTAAAAAGAACAAAGGATTAAACAAGTCATTCAAGGATACATAATTGCATGTGATGAACACCATCTCATAACACACAGGCATGCTCGCCTTACTATACAGTCATGCCCCATAATGCCGGTCAACCGTGGACCACATATAGGATGCTGGTCCCATATGATTATGATGGAGCTGAAAAATTCCTGTCGCCTAGTGACGTCCTATCCGTCCTAACGCAGCACAATGCATTACACAAATACTTACCATTGTGTTACAGTTGCCTACAGCATCCAGTACAGTAACATGCTGTACAGGTCTGCAGCCTAGGAGCTGTAGGAAAACAGAATTTATCACCCCAAAATTTGTCTACTTGGCATCAGGATTATTTAGGCTGGTTAATTTTAAGGGACAGCAGACATGGAGAAGCTCTGAAAACCAAGTAGAAGTTGCCCTTAGTAAGAGACATTTACATTTGTAAGAGTGTCTCCATGCTGTACCAGGAAGACAGGGATGACTTCTAGAAACTCTTATCAATGCATAAGCCCAAGACTGAAATCTGTACAACAACCTTATCATTCTTACTGTGCTTTTCCTGGTCACCTCCCATAACTGAATCCCCAACTCCAACATCTTTTGTCTTCAGCAAAAGATAATATTTAAGGTGGTGGATTTCACCATTTTGGCGAATAACTCATTTTTCCTGTGTCTTTCTCATGTATACAGGAAGGTGTTCCTGTAATTAAACTTTTGATTTTCTCCTTCTAATGTCTCTTATTACAGGGATATCTAAGTCAAGAACCCAGAAGGGTAGAGGGAAAATTATTTGTACTTCCCTACAGAGCAATTGGCTGTACCATCTAGCCCAGGTTGTGTCATGGGCCGTACCATCTAGGTTTGTGGAAGTGCACTCTGTGATGTTTGAGCAATGACGAATCACCTAATGACGCATTTCTCAGGATGTATGCCCGTCGTTAAGTGGCACATGGCTATAATCCTAGGCTTTGAAGCTAACATTGTTTGACCTGATGCCTTAATTTTTCTTAAATGTTTCTTCATCTGAAAATGGAGTATACTCTTTAGCAGGGTTATTCTGTGTACTAAATAAAGTAATATACACAAGAGCATTTCTTACATAGGTGCTCAATAAATAAATATTTTAAAAACCCCACAGAAACCGAACATAACAGGTGGTCCACTATACTTTAGTCTTGAATATGAGATGTTGGAGAAGCCCAGAAAACTGGGCCTCTAGTCTTAGGACCACACTAGCCCCCCCATCCCACCCCCGGGAAGGAAGGAGGTCCCAGTGTTTGCCTACGGCCTCCTCTCACCTGTGGAGGCGGGCGTGCGTGTACTGTAGGAAGACGCCTGTGTCCCCACGACTCTGGAAAACACGATCCCAGCTGAACTGATAGTCAGACAAGAGTAAGCCTCTGAAGTCCTAAAATGACAGTAAATCTTCAGTCCTGGGATTTGTTCTAGTACCAAACAAAAGGGTCTCATAGGAAGCAGTCTTAACAGACCTGAATAATGAGCGCTGCGAGCCCAACCCTCTCTGCAGTCTCCTGAGGGTTCTCGAGTTCTTTGGTAGCTGAAACAGACAAAGGCAACTAACTGCATGAAACTATAGATCTAATCAGGGATTGAAGTGGAGATAAAATCTGCCGAAAATGGATGCTGGCTGTATCAAGAATAAACAGGTTCACAGTGGGCAATTTACTTTCCTAATTTGGGCTAATTTAGTTTTGATAATGACAATTCCCCTGCTTTCATTAAAAGGGAAAATACACAAATTTATTTTTCTTATAAATATCCTTTTTAAGACATTAGACATAGCTAGTATTTATTTTTCCAAGGCTGAAGGTTAAACAAAGTCATAAGGACGTGAGAATTGTTTCCAATTATGTAACATAGGAACTTCACATAACCACTCCAACAGTGGAATGACAATCTGAAGCTGTCCATGAAAAGAGGCCCAGGGTAATATCAACTCAGATTATTGAACTGAACAACACCTGAGCAGAAAGTCTAAAAATTCTGGCACCTCTAATTAGTGCAAGCTATTTTTGACAAAGCTAGTGAAAGTTCAGTGGAGGGATGGTCCTAACAAATAAATCACATGTAAACGTCCAGCATGTAAATTATGACTATAACAACAAAAAAGTGAATTCACTCTTAATAGAAGCCATGTTCTGTAGCATCCTTAATCGAATCTCATTTAAGACATCTTCCAGAAAAGTAACATCTCCTCTTCGAGTCTTCATCCCTTGCACTACTCCAAAGGGTACGTGCTGGCACCTGAAGTGGAGTGGGCATTTAGTTAACCGAAAACTAAAGAAGAGCTGGTGATCAACACATAGAATAACACTTTTAGAGAGCAAATCTGAACTTCAGCTTTCATAGAGGGATTTTAAAAAATTAATAAATTGAAATATGATGTGATTTGTATGCCACAAAGATATTAAAACACTCAGCTTCATTTTCTAGAGATAATCACTAGCATGTGACTAAATTCCTAGTTGCCTTTATAAAAAAAGGAGATGGGGGCTAAGAATTTTGAAAATCAAGCCACTGTGAGCAGACATCTAATAAAAACACATTTATTAAATGTTTATAAGCTACAAATTAATATAGCCAGGGCGTAAGTGAACACAAAAACATCTGCTTTTGCACACTAACATCTTGAAACAAGTAAAGTTCCAACGAACATCTTTAACAACTTGGTGCACTTTCGGACTTGGCTGACTTAACAATCAACGATCTGGAGACAGGCAATGAAGAACCATGTAGACACAGTACCTTTCTGCCCAGTCATACCCCATGATCTGTAGCATCTGGAACACTTGCTGAAAATGCTTTTTTTGCCCTTTATCTGTCTTTAGAAAAATGTATTTAAAATAAAAGAACAGTGGTAAATTAATCTACAAAAATAGGTTGGACATGAATCAAATTAAAATACTTGAGTTTTGACAGACTAGAGTCATTGTCAATTGATGTTTTAAATACAACACACAAAGAGGATGTCAACAGAAGAATGTCTAAGCTGAGTGCAATAGCAGAGAAGGAAATAAGAGCTGAGGCAGGAAGAAATTTGAACTTGAATGTTCTGAGCATTCTATTTAAATTTCTTCTCTCTCAGCTATAACGACCTTCATCTCCAAGAAGGCTAAAGGAAAGCTCTAAGAAGATACTCAATGCAAGTTTTTTTCTTAAGGGGTAGTGAGGTTGCACATGGAAAGGAAGGAAAGGTAAGAAGAAAGTAACAGCAATAAAAGGAACAAAATATTGATACAACAGTTTGGGTGGATCTCAAGGGCATTCATTATGCTGAGTAAAAAAGGCCAACCTCAAAAGGTTACCTACTGCAAGTCCATAACACTCGCAGTGACAAAACTAGTATGGAGAACAGAACAGTGGTTGCCAGGAGTTACAGTTGGGGTGAAAGGGTGATTATTAAGTGGTTGCCATGAGGGAGTTTGGTTTGTAATGGAACAGCTCTGTCTTCTGAATGCAGCCATGGTTATGTGAATCTGCACATTTGATAAAATTTCTCTCTCACATGCACGCACATGCGCGCGCGCGCGCACACACACACACACACACACACACACACCTAGGCCCACACACTAATACATGTAAAAGTTGGCAAAATGTAACTAAGGTCTCTTCCAATGTTGGTTTCCTGGTATTGACAAAGTCCTATGGTTATGTAAGATACTATCTTTGGGGAATGCAGGGTGATGGGTATATGGAAATTCTGTACTATTTCAAACTTATTCTGAGTCTTAAAATATTTAAAACAAAATTATTTTTTTAAAGTGCATTACAGTGATCCGTACATAGTCATTTCACGTAACCATTTTCCTGATTTGAGTAATTTTGTTTTTACTACAAAACAATCTGAATTTTTTCATTTTTAAGGTTTTTGTTGTTGTTTTTTAACATAGTGCTTGCCACCTTAAATACACTTAGTATTGAATTCTTTTTATAGCTTGACAAAATTATTTTTCCATAGTTTTTCAACATGGCATCTAATTTCTATCTTTGCAGTTTTCATGAGATAGGGATCATAACCTTTTGTTCTTTATTGTGATTACTTACCACATAAATCATTGTATCAAAGTTATACTTGTCCATTCGATCTATAGCAGCTGCAAGATCTCTGAAAAAAATGGCCATAAATTAAGGGTTACTGAGAAGATCTGGGTAATAATTTGTTTTACCTATTTAATAGTAATAAGGCTTTGCTAATTAAGAATGCTTATTATCCCAATGCCTGAAGTATACTATGCTTAGATAATCCCAATATCATACTTTGATACAAAGTAAAAATGACAAAAATAGCTTTGGGAAAAGCAATAATAAAAGTGCTGGGAAAGATTTTAAAACACATAAATAAGAGCTCTGGGACAAGTAGTAATAATTAAAATAGCTCTAAGCAAAGTGTCTGTAGGTAAATGTTTTAGGACTTGTTAATTAAAAAAAAAAATCTACTGGAAAGAATGACCTAATTGTTACTTACATGCAATACACTTTCTTAAAGAACATACTTAAAACATAGGTGATGTAGTAGCTAAATAAGTATCTTCTAGCTATTCTAAGTAACACGGCCTACTTTCCCTTGGCCTATTTTACCATAATCAGAATGAGGACGGGTACTTATGTGAATGTAAGATGGTCTTTACAGAGCCAGGACACCACTGAGCCAATATGGCCACCTTCTATTGGGTTGTCGGAAAAGTTATGATGTATTTTTTCTATGTTTTTCGTTGCAAAAATGCGTCATGACTTTTCTGACAACCCAGTAGTACACATTTCTTGCCAATGTGCAATTGTAAAATATTGTGAAATAGTTGATTATGAGGTATCTCAATTTTACAGTTTATAGAACAATGTACTTAGCTGTGGAAATCCCATGATGTTCAACTAATTGTAAATAGTTTTCAGTCACGTTACTGATGATATTAAATCTTTTCAGGAACTATAACTGGCAACAAACAGAAACCCAATAAACATATTTGGAGTAATGAGGACAAGAGATTTAGAAACTAGCATCTGGTAATAGTTTTGAGGATAAAATGATTATTTTAGCATTAATGCTAGAACAAAGAACGTGACGTTGTATACACATTGTAATGCTGACCTTCAAATGAGATACAAACCTGGTTGCATAGAGAGAAGTCCCATCACTTCGCATTACCGTACAAATTGAGGAGGGGTCACCATTCCCAGAAAGATCCACTACAGCTGTTCCTTTTCTAGAAATGCAGAATGGTAACTCTAAAGCAACATAATAAATTAAGACCTTTAAAAGTATAATACCTATAACATTATCTTTGGCAAACCAGAGCTATTTTTATTACTTAAGTAGCAATAAGTAGTGTAACCAACAATGAAGAAAAACAAAAAGGAATCTGACCACGAATCTAGTAAGAGTGGGTATAATGTAATTAATGTTTGGTTATCCTATCTTTTTAAAATCTGTAAATCTGGATAAGGTACTTAGATAATTTTTACCATAGCCAGTTGAAAAAATGAGATTTCAATTGCATTTTAACATGAAATATCACATTCTCCTTCTAATGCAAGTTATTATGACATTCAGTATTAGGTTAATTTTTAACATGCTAGAAAGTACCCTTGAGTAATAAAATCACAGAATTTGTTATTGTCTTTTCCTGCCTGATCAAAAATTAGAATTTGTATATGGCAATCTAAAAATTTTCCTTAAAGACATGACTGAGGATGTTATGAAACACATTCTCCATGTCTTCCTTATAAGGATGATAAGAGAAGTTGCTCTTGGGTACTATGGAGAGTGGCACTTCTAAGCAACTCGGTTGCTCCTACATTACAGATGCCTGGGCTCCTATGACTGGTATGTCTGTCTGTTTGGCTGACAGGAAGTTCAAAGCTAAATTACAAATCGACCTTAAGCAGGGACACAGAACCTCAGTGTGCTATGTGGTATACTAATGTTATCCCTGATGTCATATTGTTTTTTCTGCCCCTGCTTCCTGGTTTCCTCATTTTATTCTTTCAAAAGCTTGTCTTAGTATATCTATTTTCATAAGCTGCCTTAAATCCTTTTTGAACAGGATGGGATTTTTCAAAAAGGCCGGGTTGAGTGAAAAGATGTGAGTCCTATTTCGTTTCCCAGTTATAGCATTATTAGCTTGTGTGGCCTCAGGCAGGTCACTTGGACTTTCTGTGCTTCAGTTTGCTCATATATAAAGAATAGATAACATCCTTTCTCCCAACCTGACCAGAACTTTATGGCAGCAAAAGACAGCATGTGGGAAAGTACTTTGACAGCAAAACGCAGTATAAAAAACGCCAGAAGATTGCACAGCACATTCTGTTGTCCTTACTGAAAGAGTATATCAACACCAATTTCACAGGAGAACAACTTTACTAAAGAATAGTAACCTGATCATACATTGTTTTCTGTAGGAGTCCTTTACTGTCCAGCAACTTTAAGACTTCTTGAGATTTTTCACGATAAAATGATTCTCCTGAGTATTCATCAAAGTGTACTCCTAGACGCTAAAAGGGTTCAGAAACAGAAGAAAGTTACTTAAATGTCCTATTATTTTACCCTGAGACAGAATAGGATGTTCTACCGTCTATCACACAGATGGGGAAAATAAGAATTAGGTCAAGTGACTCCTCTGCTCTAACCTTCTAAGGGCTCCCTCCACACCAGTCAAATCTTCACAGTATTGTTATGCAAAACATGGTCATTGCTAGGCAATATGGCTATACAAATTCAATAAAATTGAAAATTTAGTTTCTCAACCACACTACTCAAATTTGAAGTGCTCAGTAGTCACACATGGCTAGTGGCTGTGCTACTGGGCAGCACAGACACAGAACATTTCCATCACAGCAGGAAGCAGGAGCCCTGGAAAAGGTCCTACGTCACATCCCATCCTACAACCCCTTCCACCTCCTCTCCTACTCTTCCTCATCTAGCTTACTTGCTCCAGCCGTGTGGGTGTCTATTAAAACTCTCCTCATTCCACCCACAGACGCACACCTGATCTCTTCTTCCCTGCTTCATTTTTCTTCATAGCATCATCACCATCTAACAGACTATATGTGTGTTCTTGTTTGATTTCCACTTTAATTCTCTCTGTCTCCATGCTAGAAGGTAAAGTCTATGAGAAAACATTTATTTTATTCACTGTTATATTTTTCCCATGCCCTAAAATGTTTTATTAAATGAACAAATTTATACCCATCACATATAGGCCTAAGGAAGCAAAATAATTAAAAATGATTATGAAAAAGTGAAGGTACAAGAGAGAAAAGTAAAGCCAGAGTGAGATGAAGTATCAGAATGTTACCTGATATTCAGCCTGTGAAGTTCACAGGCTTCAAAATTATTTCATAGCTCTAACTTTCACCCTGAGAATAACACTGAGTCCTAATTTTCAACTCAATGACAAATCCATTCTTAAAACCTGAGCTTCAGAAGGAACTTGACTGCCTAGCAGTACCAGTCAGGAGCCGCACAGGACAGCAGGAGAGTGGATGGGTACCTTGTAAATCCGAATGTACTCTTCTATGCTTAAATCCCGAAATTTCTGCCACAGTGCAAGTGCTTGCATGTCACCCAGTTCCAATCGCCGGAAGAACTCCTGTGCTGATTTTGCTACACTTTTATCATCTGCTGCTTCTTTATTAACTTGTACATAAACCTAAATGCACAACAGTACATTAAACAAAAAATATTACTAGCCAGTTATCTCAATAAGGAAAAGAAGAAAACAAAAGACAATCCTGAGAATTCTCATTTAAAGGTTACCCAACTGCCCTCATCACAGAGTGCGTGTAACCTTTTATCTTTTTTTTTTTTTTTTGGCCACAGGCCGTTAGTGAACCCTACAGACTCCTTCTCCAAATGTTTCTAAATGCATGAAATAAAATACATAAGATTACAAAGAAAATAGTTACATTGAAATACAGTTATCCAAATATTTTTTTTTTAATTTGTGATATAGTAATGAAGGAAAATGCTAAATTTCTAAAAGAGGTTAGTGAAAATGTGTAATTTTTCCTTCCTATCCAAGTTTACAACTCCTTACATAAAAAAAAAATCTGGCTTAGACTAGACTAGCATGTCATCATTTTTTTTTTCTAAAGTCAAATTATTATTGTTCCAACTTCTCTGAGCAATGGTTGAAGAGAGTAGGATGGTCCAATCTGGCAAAGAAAAAGCCAAAGGATGATTTAGCAGTTGTTTTAATGAAAGATTTTTAAACTGTGCTCTAAATCTGTCAAAGACCAGTAGAATAGGTGATCTAGGACAGTTAGCTTAATTATACTCCAACTTGTACTACTTCAAAATGCAAAGTTAATCATTTCCCAGTCTCCAAAATTATAGCTCAAATAGTATTGAAGTTGGGCATATGGACCAAAAAGATTTTACTTAAAAATGGTAACTTACTTCCAGAATGAAACATGAATGATAATTTTACTACCCTCATATTTTTTCCCGGAAGCTATTAAAGTAGCATGAAAGTAATAAAAATTGGGAAGAAATGAACTACCAAAAAATACGAGGCCTCTAAACTTGTACAGTACTATCATCAAAATATCGTGGCAGCATTTGGGTAGAAAAAGTGATTTTATTGCTGGAGAATACGCTGGACAAGTGGAATGTGGTTTATGCCCACTAGATACTACTAACAAAGTGGACAGGGCATTGAACATTGGTCTCAAGGTGTTGAAGGTGTATGAAAATGCCTCACTTTTCATAGATGGCTTGTGTTAATTACTGGAATGGCAGAATTAAATGAATATATACCCCTAAATAAAGGTGAAAACTACCTAATATTTTTTTCCCCCTTTTAAAGCATATTGTGCAATGAAGAGTTAATATAGCAGGCCTGAGACTGGGATTCTTAAATGTTCTGTTCACAAGATTAGCCCTTGGCCGGCATCTGGGAACTTGAATTTTGGGAATGTTGCCACTAACCTAACTGAGTGTGTCACTATACTGATGCTACTTGTGCAAACAATATGGTTTATGCTAAACACCTGCTTTCCTTCTGGGAGTTCAGAAGTTTTGTACATGCTAAGCAGTGGGTGCCTACATGATCCTCCAACAGAAACCTTGGGCACAGGGCATCTAATGAACTGTCCTGGTCAGACAACATCTCACATGTGTTGTCACAATTTGTTGCAGGAGGAATCAAGTGCATTCTGTGTGACTCCTAGGAAGAAAGGACTCTGGGAGGCTTGGGCCTGGTTTCCTCCAGACTTCACCCCATGTGCCTTTTCCCTTTGTGGAATTTGCTTTACATCCTTTCACTGTAATAAATAATAGCTTTGAGTACAACCATATGCTCAGTCCTGTGAGTCCTTCTAGAGAATCACGGAACCTGAGGGTGGTCTTCGGAGACCTGACATACATATCATAAAAAATGAATTTCCATGTGGTCCTATGAGTAAGTCCAGAGTAAGTCAGTTAGAAAACAGAGAAAGATGATTTTGGTTAGGTATAGGAAAACTGAGTCACTGTAAGATAGTAAATTGCAAACTTCTGATTTTTGAATGACCTATCCATTGACAACTGCTTAATACAGGCATACCTCAGAGATATTGTGGGTTCAGTTCCAGGTCACTGCAATAAAGTATTACAATAAAGTTAGTCTTAATCTTTTTGCTGATGGAGGGTCTTGCCTTCCATTTGTAAAAAAAATGCAACTGTGAAATGCAATAAAATGAAGCACAATAAAACGAGGTATGCCTGTGAAGTCCAACTTACAGGAGTAAAGATATACTGCATATCATTTGTGATTCAAAATCAATCTCTCTCTCTCTCTCTCTCACATGCACACAAAATAAGCAAACATACACAAAATATCCTTATCTTTATTAGAGGAAAGATTTTAGTTCTTTTAAATCTAGGGCGCTAAACTCAAATAGTCAAACATTTAAAAACCTAATATGCACTCAAACTACTGATAATAGTTTTAGAAAAAACTTAACCAGAATCTTTTCCTTCTTAAAATTTAAAATTAAAACAAATTAATTAAAACAAAACAAAACATAAAAACGCTTTCTACTACTTGAAGAATCTTGGCATTTGAACAATTTGTAGTTATAAACCAAAAATTACCGAAAATCAACTGACACTATCAAAAAGAACAATAAAAGAGCCTTACTCAGCACTTAACAATCTGCCTGTAAATGCACAATATAAAACTATAATTAACATTCATCACTGTTTTAGAGAAGAAATGTTTTTTCCTAGGTTCCTAATTCTAAAATATTTAAAACATTATGGGCAACAAAGATTTATTGTTTTCAGGATTAAGTAAAAACTTTTGCAGCAGGTGGGAAAAAGGTAAGAACAGTAACTCTGATATGTGAAGCTGTACTCTAAAAAATTCTTAAAAATGTTCTCTTAATAACACAAGGTCTCCAAGCAGGTATTTGTATTTTCTGCACCTTGGGTTGTCTCTGTGGGTCTGGATCTGATGAAAGGTTCACTAACTTTGTGGTAAAAAATACTTGCCATTATTCAGTTTTAAAAAATAATACTGTAAAAATTCCAGACACTAAGGTGGCATGCTTTATTTATAGACAACCACAAAGAACTATTCATTTTTAAACTCTTGCCTATCAATAAAACTCTTAATGGGTAAGAGAGGAAAAGTCTTTTAGTTAATATTATAAATCAAAAGTAAGCATTTAAAGTGCAGTATAGGCATGGACTCAGGAGGAAATGATAAACCTTTAAAGGTCTTTAAGAATTAGAATATATTTTTCTTAAATTTAACTACAAAGCCAGCTGCAGGAGAAAAATCATGTAACGAAAAAAAAAATGATGAAATGCTCTTTGTGGCTTTGGCTGGAGAAGTGAAGCATTACTTTGGCATGTGCTCCTCCTCACACACAGGCATAACATCTTCAGTTTGATTTCCAGCTCTGTCACCAATATGGCTGACGCTGTAACTGTATTTCTTCTTGTGAGGCCCAGATACAGCAGAGATAACAACTGGGACAATGAAAAGGAAACACATCCCTGGAGGTTAACTGGACAGGAAGAAAGAGTTTTATTAATGAACTCCAGGAAGGACTGAGGACACAGAAACCAAGAACTAATGAAGAAGAATAGAAAGGAGTTCACACTGGGCAAAAGCCAGGAAAAGGAGCTGAAAGACAGAAATGAAAAAAGTACATACAAATTCAGAGAGAACAAGAGCAAAAAAGTATATATGCATGTTTTTCAAGTCTAAATGAATTATAGTTATTACCATGAAGAAAGCTGTAGTACAGAACAACTGACAATATTGAGAAATTTCTGTGTTGAATTGTTATCCTATGTGTTTATTCTAAGAAGTTTCTATACCTAGAGAAAAATACTGTCTTCAATCAACTAAAATAGTAATAAAAGAACACGATTTGAATATTAAAAGAACTCCCCAATAAAATAAAAGTGACATTTTCAATTATTTTGGTTCCTTGTTTTAAGGAACATTTTTTTAAAACCTTTGGGATTAAAATGTGTTACCAAGCTGCACAGCACTCTGAAAAAAAAAGTTGAAGCATTTTCTAATATTGTTTTTTGCCAACTTACTTCAAAGAGATGCTGTAAAGGGTTGGACTGGAGTTTTTCCTCATAGCCAAACAGTTGGAAGCCAGTTCCCAGAAGACCTACCACAATAATCCGTAAATTAAAAAATTATAAAATGGAACAGTAGAGCACAGTCATGGCAGGGAACAGGTATAATTCTATAAAAAGATCAATCTCCATTATTATGTATCCTGAGAACATTGCAAAATACATGCTATCACCTTCCGCTGCCCCATAAATTGACACAAGTCAAATTCAATATATTAAATCACAAATTAAATACACTGAAATAGATCAATCACTGAATTTAATTTCACAGAAACCAACACACTATGAGTTCATCAAAGGCAGGGTCTAGGACTAATTTATCTTTGTACTAACAGTCCCCCACACCTCCCTAGCAGACAATTAAACAAGCATTTGTTGGGCAGCTACTCTGGGGAAAACATCATGCTGCTCTGGCACTGGACACTCAGAATTTGTGAGAACTGATGGGAAGTGGTTTCAAAACTTTCTTTTTAAATTTGTAGATCTTAAAACAAACCAAAGGTAGGAATTAGCTGGGTGCTATAATAGTAGTTCTTAAACAACTGAATTAAGACAATAAAAGATAAAACTCGAAACATCCCTGGTTACTTTTCTCACTCAAGGTGAACAAGCAACAAAATTATTTTATCTGGCTATATATTTGTCAGTGATATTATTTTAGTCTTTGACGATAAGATCAGCGTTCAGATATAATGTTAATTTGAAACTTTTTAAAAAAAATAGTAATTGAGGTTTATAAATTAGCAATGCAAATTCCTAGCATGGACTGTGACTATTTATACTCTTAAGATGTTTTGCTAAAAGATGATCACAGTTTCAGTTTGAAAGGACATCTGTAGCCTGGAGCCAAAAGCAATAAAAGGTACTTTAATTATTTAAAAAACCAATGTGTTTCTACAACTACGTCAATTACCGAGCTTCAGCTCTAAAGGAGCTATCCCCACTGGGCCTTGCTGGTGTACATTTTTCTGTGCAGGCTTGGCAGAAAGTAGGATGCTACTAAATACACGGATATACAATACTCTGTGGAGTTTAGACAGGAAGTAGAAGGATGACTGAAAAATGAACCAGCTCTATTCACTTTCAAGCAAAAGCAAATGTGATTGTGATTCAGGGTCTTGGGAGCAGAGTGTGGAAAGATGCCCAGAGTGTTCTAAAAAACAGAACTAGAAAAGTAAAGGCCAATTCCATTTAACATTCCACCTAATATTTTCCAAAATCAAATTCTGTGCTTAGGAACTGTCTGCCAACTTTCAAAAGGGGATAGCTCAGACAAAATTAAAACTCTTCAGCAATGACAGTTATAATGGAAATGTTGACAGATCATTAACCACTGTGGTCTGTTAGAGAAAAACAGCTGTAATAAAATCCTGCAGCTAAAATTTCATGAATACCATAATCACATATTTGCTAATGCCTGTGAAATGCCTAAATCGGTCAAACTAATATAAAGCGGACAGTATCTATTAAATCCGACTGCTGAGCCTGGAGCCTAAACCTCTGGCTGCCAGATGTTGTGGACTGCAGGTGGATTTTTAAAATGCAGGGAGTGTTTTCTTTTCTTTTTTTTTTTTTTTTTTAAGATTTTTTATTGGGGAATTGGGGGGATGGGAACAGTGCTGGGGAATTGGGGAAAGGGGAACAG